CAGCAGGAAAGCAGCCTGCTGTCTCCTGTCCAGCTATTGAGAGTGACAGGTTTGTCACTTTACGTAACACCAAACATATCAACTGTTTCCACAGTAAAAATTTGTTTTGCCAATACAGGTCAGTAAGACCTGATAGATTTAAAGCCTCCATATACCCATTTTACAAAATGTGACTGCAGCAGGGCTGCATACAGGGAGCTCTTTGGTACTGTTTGTCCTCAGTTGTCACAGCTGTCCCCAAGGCTCCTGTGACAGCCTGCAGTCACCTGCTGAGGGGCTGCAGTGCCCAGACACAAACACCCACCTCTACCAGAGGGGCTACTTGCCTGCTTGGTTTGGTTGCCCAGGCAGCTGGGGAAGCTGTAGCTTACAGACGCCTCATTAGAATCTACATGGCTGCAGGGCTCAGAGCTGCTCAGCTCCCTGTAACAGGAGTCTGCAGGCAGGTACCTAAATTTAGATGGAGCTGAATTCCATCCTCCCTGTGAAGGATATTCCCCCCTGCGCCAGTCCCCTTGAATATAGCGCCATACCCGAGTACTTCTTCCATTCCTGCACCAGCAGAACTGCTGCCACATCCAGTGACACAAGGCAGCAGGGAGAAGTGCGGTTGCCTTGGGCAAGGCGGCAGGGCCCACGCCAAGTCCCCATTTTTCTTTTCCAGAACTCCGACACACCTATGCACTTACTTTTGGAAACGGCACCCGAAAAGCTTACCAAAAGGAACAAAGGAGACAAGCTTGTGCACTGTGAAAAATGCTTTAATGGTGCCTGTACAGCATTTGAAGTGACTTTGAGACAGGAAGAGGAACACAACACAGACAGAGAAGTTTTGAATGAAAGAGTTCATACAGCTTTAAACAAAATTTACAGGTGGTCATCTGCATAGCTTTTACTCTGCTTCTTCCTCAGCCTCCTCCTCAAACTCCCCCTCCTCCTCAGCTGTGGCATCCTGGTACTGCTGATACTCAGACACCAGGTCGTTCATGTTGCTCTCAGCCTCTGTGAACTCCATCTCGTCCATGCCCTCGCCAGTGTACCAGTGCAGGAAAGCCTTTCGGCGGAACATGGCAGTGAACTGCTCAGAAATGCGTTTGAACAGCTCCTGGATGGCTGTGCTGTTACCAATGAAGGTGGCAGACATTTTCAGGCCACGAGGTGGAATGTCACAGACCGCTGTTTTAACGTTATTAGGAATCCATTCAACAAAATAGCTGCTATTTTTGTTCTGAACGTTCAGCATTTGCTCATCGACCTCCTTCATTGACATACGGCCTCTAAAAACAGCAGCTACGGTCAGATAGCGGCCGTGACGTGGGTCACACGCAGCCATCATGTTCTTTGCATCAAACATCTGCTGTGTTAGCTCTGGCACGGTTAAAGCACGATACTGCTGGCTCCCACGGCTCGTGAGCGGGGCAAAACCAGGCATGAAAAAGTGCAAACGGGGGAAAGGAACCATGTTGACTGCCAGCTTCCGCAGGTCAGCATTAAGCTGGCCTGGGAATCGCAGGCAGGTGGTAACACCGCTCATGGTTGCCGACACTAAATGGTTCAGATCACCATACGTTGGAGTAGTCAACTTCAGTGTTCTGAAGCATATGTCATAGAGGGCTTCGTTATCAATACAGTAGGTTTCATCTGTGTTCTCCACAAGCTGGTGCACCGAGAGCGTGGCATTGTAGGGCTCTACTACAGTATCTGATACTTTAGGGGAGGGTACAACACTGAAAGTATTCATAATTCGGTCTGGGTACTCTTCACGAATTTTGCTGATGAGGAGAGTACCCATGCCAGAGCCTGTGCCACCACCAAGGGAGTGAGTAAGCTGAAAGCCCTGGAGACAATCACAGCTTTCTGCCTCCTTTCTCACAACATCTAACACAGAATCAACTAATTCAGCACCTTCCGTATAATGGCCCTTTGCCCAGTTGTTTCCTGCTCCGCTCTGACCTGGAAGAGAGCCATTTTCGTATTAGATTACGGTCACTGCTTCCTGCTTATTGCTTGCAAGCAAAGCTTAGGAGCATCAGGCTACAGAGAAACCCCACAAAAGCTTTCATTTTATCAAGCACAGAGCTGTGGTTGCACACAAGAACCCTTGAAATGGCTCGGTCGACACACGGAAAACATTCATTACCAACGATACAGCAGCCATGTAATGTCTCCTGATATTACGGAGGAGGTAATGAG